AGCAAGTGAAGAAAGTCTATTTTGTTTCCCTTCATACATCTATTTCTTAGTCATGTATGCTTGACACTTCAAGATTTTGTTGCCATATTTGATTACCATATACAAAGCTATCTCTTGAAGCTTTCCAAATCAAAGATTAGCATAAAATATCATTTAAACACATCTCCAAGCATAATCTTGGTTGATATACAATATGAAACATGTATTACATTATCAACCATGGAATAGGACAAACCATAGACATATGCACTTGAATCTTTAGGAATATTTCAAGCATGGTTAAGGCATGATTCAAGATTAGGAAGAAATATATGACCATCATGAAAATACATTGGGACATTTTGAAGCAAGTAATGATCATATAAGTCATGTTATTATAAATGAGCAATTTTAAACATAATCACATGTCAATCCAAAAGATACAATTTCTTTTCAAAAACTAATGCTTGAAAGATCATGGAATTAGCATTTTACACATATCTTTCTTGTTTCAAGAGTGTGACATATGTCAAGCAATTAATACAAGAAGATATTTAATTTCGTAATCTTCAAGTAAGCATGTGATACATTTAAGCATATAACAAAGAAGTGAAATCATTTTTGTGCATGTATAACTCCAAGTAAAAACTAAGATATACTCTAAAGCTTAAGCTCAAAAAGATTATCATGTTATTGTAACAAATACATGTGCCTACTAGCATATATAATAACATTTAGGGCATATTATTAGAATAACACAATCTATTGATTGTGTAAACATATCAACTAAATATCAAAGAATTCCCTAATTATCATGTATATAGCATTTAGAGCATAAAGAGGGATAGAAGTAACCGAATTTGAATTCTTTCAATTTAGAATATGGCTCCTTGAGATTATCATGAATATTCTTGTACTTTATCATGCTTGCATCTCTTCTTATATGTTGGATACTTTCATGCTTTCCAAGTCTCAAGTTGAATAAACTTATTTCATTTGAATACATTCTTGAGGTAGTTGTAATGCTATAGTTCAAAGCACTTTTGGTATCCGCTTTGGATCCATAGGGGTTAGTCATTGATCATCAGTTCATTATGCTCTCATAAAGATCAATAATATCACACATAAATTGAGCATAATAAGTTAAATAATTAATTTAGCATTAAGCACAAAGTCAATAACATTTCCACAGTTTCTTTTTCATAAACTCGTAATCTTGTAATTAAAACTGGGAATACATCAATACTTCAAAAATTATGAATTTTGGATATGTTATAATACACATCTCAAGCTTTCTAACAAGATATAGATCATGTCAATCAGAGTTATATAGCTCAAGATATGATCAGTTAAATTTGATGCATTGAAATAGAGTATTTAACAAAACAGTCATAATCACGAATTTACTGGGGAATGTGTACATATCCAAAAAATCTAAAAATTTCCAGTATTAAACTTGATCAATCTATCTTTCTAATGTCACTGGTTTCATGCTCAAGGGATTTGTATAGCTCAAGTTATGCTCATTTTAAGTAAACTACTCCAGAACAGAGTTTATGACATAACAGCTATGTCCACGAGATTTCTGGGAGCATTATACTTGACTAAGAATTATAAAAATTTCCAAAATTAAATTTTATCAAGTTAGATTTCAATGACCACTGGTTTCACTTAAAAACGATTTCTATAACTCAAGAAATGCGTAAAACAATTCAGCTGTGTCAGAAATAAACATATAAGTGAACAACTATAGATATGATCATGTGCTATTCATAATTTTCAGCATTCAAACCAAGCACATATGGTTTTATCCATTACCTAAGGCCTAAAGGATATATACCTCATATTCATTGGATTCATATGTGAATAAGCATAAGAGGTAATGATATTTGATACTTTGGCCTTTGTAATCAAGTGGAGACTTTTTCTTACCCATTGCTTCTCTCTTTGGATTTTGAACCTTCTAGGTTCCACTTTGTGCATGCGAGAAGCTTGGGCTGAAGTTTCATTACTTCTTTGATTGATAATTCCTTCATTGGGCCTAGTAAGCATTTTCCTTGACGATTCATTTTTCTCTTGACATTTTTGTCCATCATTTTGATAAATTTTCTGTGCATTGGAGAAGCTAGGAGGACTTTTTGGTACCCATTTCATCTTGGGTCCTTGAGCATTAGGAATAACATTTATAGAAGCTTTGACAACCTAAACCAACTTATTTCTCATGAAAGAATTTCTTCTATGATAGCACAAATGAGAATTATGTCCTACTTTACCACAATAATTACATACAATATGTTTGCAAGATAAATTGTTCTTTTCAAACTCAACTTTCAAATTTTTGGCTTTCTTTCTATTATCACTATCCAAACTATTATTTCCATAATCATTTATAGGTTTTCCATGTACAAAAGTATCATTAATATTTTTATTTTCAAACATGGAATATGAGCATGTAAGATTATCAATTATGGAAGGTTTGGATGATAATTCCTCAACTTGATTATCAACATCAATGCAATTTTTAAGAATGGTTGAGGGTTCACAATTCAAGGATATGTCCTCTTCTTGAAAATCATATATATTTTTCAAAGATTCAATTTGATTTTCAATGAAGCAAATACTTTGTATAGAAGCCAAATTTCTATTTTTCAAGTTCAACAAACTATCATTCAATTCATCATATTTATATTGTAAATCATCATGTTTAGGACTATATTCAAGATTTGTATTATTTACCTCAACTTGAATGTCATCATTGTCACAAAGAGGTTTTGGGCTTCTTTGATCACTTTCAATCTCTTCTTGAGTGCATTCATCATCTTTTTCTTCTTCCAATGGATTTTGCTCTTCTTGCTCTCTATATGCATCTTTATGCACAAAATCATCATTGACAAGATAGATAGTAATAAGAGTATCCCATATATTTTTAGCATTCATGCAATGTTTAATCTTAGCATATGCATCATCATATACACTTTTTCGAAGCATTTGCATAGCCTCAAGATTGAAGACAAAACATCTTTTATTGAAGTCATTCATGCATTCTTCTATTTTCATTGAAAAACCTTTATCTACAACATGCCACATAAAAAGATGAATTGATTTAATAAAAATTTCCATTCTTTTCACCCAATATTCAAAATCATCACCATCAAAGAATGGTGGTTTATCACATTCAAAGCCTTGCATTTTTTGTTTGATTTAAAAATAAATTATATTGGAAGCCCCAACAAAGATCTTTAACTCTAGGCGGTTAAACCTCTAACTGAGCACTAAGCTCTGATACCACTTGTTAGGAATGTGGCTTCCATACTCAAGAGGGGGGGGGGGGGTGAATTGAGTATTACAAGATTTTCGCAAAAGCCCATTTCTAGTTTATAAATAATTGTTTCAACCAAACTTTGATATGTGAAAAGCTAATCAATACATTCAAACAATCTACCATATATAATATGTCACAATTATAGAGCTTATTCTAGCACATACAAGATATCAAAGAAGCAATTAAAGTGCTAGAAATAAAGAGTTTAGAGAATTGCAAACATGAAATATCCTGGTTCGGTCACCACCACATGTGACCTATGTCCAGACTGAAGCCGCTCGATCAACTCTTTCACTAATGGTCAAGCTTCACGGGTGCTTGACAAACCGTTACAATCTTCCAAGACTTCGGGTTCTTGGATACCTTTCAATCTCCAAGTTTACGGGTACTTGGTAACCTTATAATTCACTCCAAATTTACTTAGGTATCAGGACTCAAAGGATTATGACACCTATCAAAGTTAGATGACATTGAAGAGATAACCTAATAATTTGGAAAGCTGAACAATTTGTAATAATATCCTCTTTTCTAAGTAACTTCCTTCCTAACATTTTTATAGGGTTAATATTAAGGGGAATGATGCGTTTATAATTTTTTTTTAAAAATTACACTAAGTATGACTAATTATATATTTTTGATTGAAATATGATCGGTCATAATTAATAAAATTTGTAAACAAAAAATTTGTAAATATAACTTTCTCCTAATATTAATACCATACGTGTTTGGGAGTCAAGACACCTATGTTTGGCAGAGGAAGCAAGCCCATTTCTAATAATTAAATTTGCTATTGGGCCAAATGCTGGTCGAAGGGAACAAGTTGGGGCCAAAGGGTGTCCAATTTCAACATCGAGGTTTTACTGAATTTAAGATTTCTTCTCGGGCTTAAAGGAATGAGTCACCGTGCTAATAGACCTGAACAAGCGATATTAAGAAAAAGTTCTGGAGGCTCTTGGATTTCTACTAAACCACCAATTCTAAATGATTACCTCATAAATACAGCAATTTTCAGGTCATAAACCTGCCTTTTGATCTATTTAAAGTAAATTTCACAACTTTTTGTCGGATTAATGCCTTTGTGAAATAATGCAGTGAAATGCAAAGGAATATAAGTCGTGGATGGGTGCTCATTTAATTTGCACACGAGTCAATCAACATCTATCATGTGACATGTACAAGACGAGGACATGGGCAGCAAATAGTACAAGTCTTGTACTTATTCCATGGACGACTTGCACAAAACATCACATGGCAGATATTGATTGGCACCATGCAAAAAACGGGCACCTATCCCTTGAGTTAAATAGTATTATTTTGATAAATTATTTCACAAACACATTGATCCGGTAAAAAGTTTTCAAATACGAATCAGTACGGTCCAAAGTCCCCATAAACCACAAACCTTTTATTTAAAAAAAAAAACAGATAATAAATCACACTGCAGAGACCCCTTAAAGCGAGCAACAGCAACAGTAGTCAAGACGGTGATGTAAACTAGAGGCAAAAAGATAATCTTTATATATTGCAACTGGAAGCAAAAAGCTTTTTCACCCTGCATCATCAAGACAGCAATAGAGAAGGAAGAAAAGAAAAAAGCCATTTCTCTATAAACGAGGATGTCATTGGCAATACTCTAAATTTTACATTTTAATTGTCATTGTTTGGGAGAAGCGCTACAGCCAGCAGTGGGCCTTCAGATGGGCTAAGTAATTAATCAGCAACTGCTTTGAGTGGAACAGGTGCTAACTCCAAATAGTCAAAATCATCTGTTATACCAATCTGCATGAAGACACAAGGTGCAAGACACATAAGATACAAAGAGAGACGGGAGTAGAGTGGCATCAAGGAAGGGTACGTTTTAGCTGAGGAGATGCACAAAAGGATATTTAATGTGGTAAGTTTGATAAAGTTATCAAGTTAATAATTCCATTCAAGACAAAAAAAGAAGCCCTAACAATTGGCTGAGGATTACAGAACATGCTTCTCATATTTAGGCATTAAATTCAAATGACTGCTGACCTCCTTGTACATGTTTTCAAGTTGTTCCTTTGCCTCAGGGAAGTTGTTTGAACACCATTGCCTCAGGGTGAAAATGTTGTCTGCAAAGTTTTTTGGACACAACAAATGGAGATTACATGTATCATCAGTCATCACCATAGTGTGACATTTCACAATGCCAGACACTTCATTTCTCCCCTCCAAGACACAATTCCATTCTGGTTAGAAAAAAATATTGAATGAGAAAACATAGAAGGCAGAACCTGTCCATCTGTTGGCTGATGCATGGGCAACTTGAATTGCTTCCTCTGCCAATGTTAATACCAAAACATCAGTGTCCCAACTCCCAAACTAAAACAAGGTATTAGGATTAACCTTCTAAAACGTTAAAAGATAAAGAAATAAATAAATAAGCATTTCTTAACTCGTTGCCTCAAAGGCAGCCGGATCGTTATCTGTATACTTTGCCAACTCATCCTGAAAATGTGAAATATTATTTTACTGTTACAAAACTGACGTACTACAGATCATACTTAATGTATGACCAACAATTAATCCATAAGCCAACCTAACCTTTAATTCATTATGCTTCAGCTCAATGGCTTTTAGATCTGCGAGGGCCTCCTCTCGTTCATCCTGGTGAAAATGCAATAAGAAGATATATGATGACAGGCCTTTTAATGCTACATAAGCAGAACAACATGGAATCTAGTAATTAGTTAGGGATTATAACTCACAGATTCCTCTCTCCCCATCTTTAGTGCCTCACATTGGTCAACAAGTTCGGCATGCCGCTTCTTACTGCTTTGCAGATCGGAGTCAAGTTTGCGGTACACATTCCTAAGCTGTGTATATAGTTTATAATGTTGTAATCAGGATACTACAGCAGGTAAGGATACTGACCAACTTATCAACATAAAGATGGTATAGAACTTTTAAGTTTCCATATTCTTCTAACAAAAAAAATATATGGTATAGCGCAGTTTAGCTTTTTCAATAGAACTTCACCTGATTTCCAGCACAGCTAGGAAGACTCCAAAAGTATACCTGAGAAGCAAAAGTAGGAACATTAATTAAATTAATTAAAAGAAGAGAAAAATCTTCCCCATATCTTTGACAATTTTCCCTGACAAGTATCTCATATTAATGTCAAGCATCCTTAACAAAAATACAAGAACTAAAAAGGAGCATCACTTGTTCTGATGTTAACTTACAGAAGTTCCTATCTTATCTTTGGAAACAAGGTCATCATCCACTAAACTTTGGACAACATCTTTCACAGACTGAGTGATAACACCCTTCCTGGGACCCAACTTCTCAAGCTCCTTAAGCTAAATTAATAACAACAACAACAACAACAACAACAACAATAATAAAAGCATAAAAATCAGTCAGAAAATTATATGATAAAAAACAACAATGATTCATCTCATAAGTAATAACAAAATGGTAAAGGTTGAGTGCAACTCAACCAGGTAGAAGTCTTGGGATTCGTAAAAGATTTGAAGCATCTTCTCACGCTTCTCTTCCAATGAAAGACCCCTTTTCTTCGACTGCACAAAACAAAACACATCAAACGATTTGGCATTCAAAATTTTTCCATCTAGGTTTTTTTTTAGTGAATCCTAATTCCCATGGCACCATCAGATAAAGAGGAACAAGTGTCAGCTATTGAACCAAGCAATTCGCACGATAGGGTTCAAATTTGTGATGAAAACACAATTAAACAATCAAATCAAACCGGGGAAAGAAGCTTTTGCGAAATTACAGAAGAAATTCAGGAAGCAGGTTACCATTGCGACGGCGTCCGGCGGCGGAGGAGCGACGCAGAAGATTCCAGAATCGCGATTCTCTGATTTTGGCGGGAAAATGGTTTAATCAATTATGCTTTAATGTTCATAATTACCCGAATATATTATCTGTGAGTTTTATTTTTCTTATTTTGCATGAGACAAATTGTCTCCTGCAACACACAAAAAGTGAGTGGGACCTACTAAAAAAGAAGAAAGAGAAAATAAAGAAGCGGGTTCCACTCATTTTTTTTTGTGTTGCATGAGACAACTTGTCTCATGTAACGTAAGAAAAATAAAACTCATTATCTACATGGACATCATTTTCCTCGTTTTTTAAAGTAAAGATTATAATGATGATTATTTTGCATAGCGACAAAAACATAGCTGGCCACTGTCATTTTAATTTTCCATATTATAAATTATGAAGCATATCTTATTTAGTAATTTATTAAAGATAACTTTTTAATATTTTAAATAATTTTTCAACAATATAATTTTCTAAATATATAAATACCAAATTCATTTACATGAAAGATTAATTTGGTGAAAAAAAAAACAGATTTGATGATCAATTTATTTAAAAAAAAAAACTAAATTAGCATAAAAAATTCGTAAAACTAATTTGGTGAAAAATTTATTTAAGCTACTGATGGGACGACATCCTAATATTTAAAAAATTGAATTTAAGTATTTACAATATTTATATTCTTATTTAATATTATTTTGGTTCTTTAAAATTACGTCTCATGATTATTACATCCGGATTCAACAACGCAAACAAATTTCGACTAAATACATTAATTTCTTTGCTTATGAAATTGTTTCATTATTGTACAAGTGTTTCGTGAATACCTTATTATCCACTTTTATTCTACTGTGTTTATTCTTATTCGTATTATTTTACATTTTACAGGTTAAATGGGATGAGGCACTCAGAATTACTTTACTGTCGATCCCTCTTAACAGAAGTTGCTGTCATTCGCAGCTTGATGATATATCAAATTGGGTCTATTATATAGACCAAGATTTACAATTGGTTACATCAGGAAATCAGCTAAACTTAAGGAACAGAAAGCATAAATCAAGCTAATCTATTTACATCAGGAAATCAGCTAAACTTAAGAAACAGAAAGCATAAATCAAGCTAATCTATTTACATCAGGAAATCAGCTAAAACTAAGGAACAGAAAGCATAAATCAAGCTAATCTATTTTAATATACAAGGTAACAAACCGTGATAGTTACAATCAGGATCCTAACAAATTAATGCTACTCTAATACTCCCCCTCAAGGTGGAGCATGGAGGGAGGAGATGCCCAACTTGGAAGTCAAAAAATCGAATTGTTTGGATCCAAGTGCTTTGGTCATAATATCTGCGGGTTGAGAACTAGTGGGGATATGTTGAGTAGAAATAGTCTTGCTGAGAAGATAGTCCCGAACAAAATGGCAATCTAACTCGATATGCTTGGTACGCTCATGGAACACTGGATTAGAAGCAATATGAATAGCAGACTGACTGTCACAAAACAGTTGCATAGGGGCTGCATGAGGAATATCAAGAGAGCTGAGAAAAGACTTTAACCAAATAAGCTCAGAAGTCGCAGCTGCCATGGCACGGTATTCAGCTTCAGCAGAGGAGCGGGATATTGTGTTTTGCTTCTTGGTTTTCCAAGAAATAGGAGAATGTCCAAGAGTAACAAAATAACCAGTGACTGATTTTCGAGTCAAGGGACAACTAGCCCAATCCGAATCACAATAGGCACGAAGAAGAAGATCACTGTCAGATCGAAGAAGGAGTCCTTGGCCAGGATTGGACTTAATGTACCGAAGAACACGAATAGCCGCATCGTAATGTATCTGCATAGGATGCTGCAAAAACTGAGAAAGTGTGTGAACTGCATAACTAAGTTCTGGTCGTGTAATCGTGAGATATACAAGACGGCCAACAATACGTCTATAACGTTTAGGATCATCAAACGGAGGTCCTTCAGCAAGAGCAAGCTTGTGATTGGGATCCATAGGATAAGCAACCGGTTTACAACTTTGAAGTCCACATTCCTTAAGAATATCCAAAGCAAATTTGCGTTGAGTAAGAAACAAACCGGTCTTGCTTCGAGCAAATTCAATGCCAAGAAAATACTTGAGGGGACCAAGATCTTTGATTTTAAACCAGGTTTGTAAATGAGCTTTGACACGGTCACAGAGAGAAGGATCACTACCTGCCAACAAAATATCATCTACATAGACAAGTATAGCAACATAATGGGAACCAGTCGAGTAAGTGAACAACGTATAATCAGCACGAGACTGAACAAAGCCGAAACTGAGGAGAGAACTACGAAGCTTAGCAAACCAATTTCGTGGGGATTGCTTGAGACCATAAAGTGAACGTTGAAGCTTACAGGCGTGACCAGACTTGGTTTGGGAGAAACCGGGAGGAAAACGCATAAAGACTTCTTCATCCAAATCGCCATGGAGAAAGGCATTTTGAACATCCAGCTGAAAAATGCTCCATTTTCGAGCTACAGCTACAGATAAAAATGTACGCACACTTGTCATTTTAGCCACCGGTGCAAAAGTCTCAGTGTAATCTTCTCCTTCGATCTGATTGTTCCCAGCAATAACCAGACGCGCTTTATAGCGTTCAATGGTTCCATCAGAATTGTACTTGATGCGGTACACCCACTTACATGGAATAGCTTTCTTACCAGAAGGGAGAGGTTGAATTTGCCAAGTATGATTGGCTTCCAATGCATCAATTTCGGCTTGCATGGCTTTCTGCCAATGAGGATATTGCATAGCCTCTTTAAATGATTTGGGTTCCAGGTTACTATCCACGGCGGCAAGAAAAATCTGATGGTGCGAAGAAAATAATGCATTAGAAACATAATGATCAATGGAATATTGAATACCTGAGTCGATTGGAGAAGTGGAGAGACGAGGAAAGGGTGTAGTCATTGTGTTGCATACATAATCCTTTAAATGAGATGGGGGACGTCTGGCACGCTGTTCACGAATATCTGCCACAGATGCAGTGTTGGGTTCTGTCAACGGAACCGGTGAACCAGGGACATCCGTGGATGAAGTAATAGAACCCGGAACTGGGGAGGACGAACTCCCCCTGTCATCAAGCTCCGCTGTGGGAGTATCAATAGCAGTAACAGGTGCCACATCATAATCGGTGAAGACAGCTTGTGGTGACGGTACATGGACAGAAGGTGCAGATGAAGTTGCAGCCAATGGAAAAATAGTTTCATGAAATAAAACATCACGAGAAACAAATATTTCATGAGTGGAGATATCCATGACCTTCCATCCTTTTTTGTTGAAAGGGTAGCCAACAAACACACACTTACGGGAGCGAGGAGCGAACTTGTCATGTGGTTTGGGTAAAACAGTAGTGTAACATAAACTCCCAAAGACCCGTAAGTGATCATACTTTGGTGGAGTGCCATGCAAAACTTCATAGGGACACTGACCACCAAGGAGTGGAGTCGGTGTCCTGTTGATGAGGTGAGCAGCGGTCAAGATGCATTCTCCCCAAAGAGATATAGGTAAGTGACCATCAAAACGCAAAGCACGAGCCACGTTGAGGATGTGACGATGACGACGTTCAACGCGTCCATTTTGCTGTGGGGTGTAAGTGCATGATAATTGATGATGAATACCGTAGGATGAGAGAGCCTCTTGGACTACAGATGACAAAAATTCAGTCCCATTATCACTCTGAATTCGCTTAACAGATGCATCATATTGGGTGCGAACCAAGTGGAGAAACCGAAGTAAACATGTGGAAGTTTCAGTTTTATTGCGCATCAAAAAAATCCAAACATGTCTACTAAAATCATCTACTACAGTTAAAAAATAGCGGGCACCAGTTGTAGATGCCATATGATATGGCCCCCATATATCACAGTGAAGTAAATCAAAAGGATGTAAACAACGTTTATTATTAATAGGAAAAGGACTTCGTGGTACGTCACAAGGAGCCAAATTGTTTGCATTGGAAATAAAAGGTAACAAAGATAAATAACGGGAAGATGGATGTCCTAGACGACGATGCCATAGTGCTGCAGAATCTGACGTACTGGCAACATGAGCAGAAGCTGATGATGCACACAATATATACACCCCTTCTCGTTCAACACCCGTTCCAATCGTCCTCTTCTGCTTTAGGTCCTGTATCAAACAAACAGAATTAACAAACAATGCCAAGCAAGACTGGCGCAGAAGCTGAGATACAGAAATCAAATTACAAGCCAACGAAGGGACATAAAGAACATTGGAGAGATGAAGAGAAGAGCCCAAAGTAATGCTGCCACATTGCGTAGCAATATCATGAACTCCATTCGGCAGTCCCACAGAACAAGGAGAAATAGAATGCACATTGGATAGATAGGAGAGTGTGCCCGTCATGTGTTGGGATGCACCACTGTCGATGATCCAAGATGGGTGTAAAATCTTACCCGTAAGTTTATCAACTGGAGGGGCAGAAGAGACAGCCAAGGACATGAGATGTTGTAGAACTTCTGGTGTAAAATCTGCCATGGAGATGGATGCTGATGACGGCTCAGAAGGAACCGAAGGCAGAGAAGTATGAGCAGCCCAATTTTCATAATTGGATTGTCCACGGAGGATGACCGTGGTGAGAACAGCACCAGGATTGTCGGATGGGTGCAGGTAAAAGGGTGACTTAGAATCAGAAACCTTGAAGGTTTTAGGTGCGGAAGTCATGATGAAA